GACTCACCCTGTATAAAGAATTTCCGTTCTGCTAATCCTCTCTCTCTCTCTCTCTCTCTCTCTCTCATTTATTCGCGGCGTGGACCGCGAGTGAGCGAAGCGTCGTACCGTCGGATACGCGAGTGCGCGGAATGACGTGCCGACGGAGAGGCTGCGCGCCGACGGAGACATAATATTTGGGGGCTCGTCCGGGATAGAATGGCTACACGACCGAAGAGGCGGATCGTGGAGGTGCCAGAGCCGGATGCGGGAACGGCAGCCCTTCATGCGGTGCTCAAGGAAGTGCATCATCTACGGGAGGGCAGACGCGACAGGCTGCCGAGTTTTCAGAGAAGATTCGGCAACGAGACAGAAACATATTGGTCCTTGACGACCGATGCATCCACGCGCCGCACCTTCAGCCCACGGCTGGCGCGCATTCACCCGGTGGCGAATCGTCCCGATGCAGGCATAACAATATATATATAATTAATTTGAATGAGATAATATATAATCTATGTATAGATGTAATCTTGTAATCATGTAAGCTCAGCGCCGACCTTGCTACGGAAGCTGCGTCGAGAGGGATCGTCGTCCAGTGCGTCCTACCCGGCCCGGTCGCCACAAAGATGTCCAAGATCAAGAAAACTTCGTGGATGGCGCCCAGCCCAGAGACGAACGTCAAAGCGGCGCTGAAAACGATTGGAATCGAGGCGCACACAACCGGTTATCCACCCATTGCCTGATCATTGGCTTTGTAGACGCACTGCGCTACATATGCGAAAGTGGTTGGTGGCAAAAACAATGCTCAACCTAAGGCGACGAGCCCTTCGCAGATCGAAAACCTCGATAGACGCGACGGACTCGCAAAAAGACGCACTCTGTAGTTGACTCGCGCGTTTTTTTGTAATGTTCTTCGTTAACGGTTAAGTCTATGCACTGTTTCGTCAGTCGCCCTCGTAAGTTGCTCCTACTTTACTACTACTTTGTATTTAGCAAGGTTTTCCATTGGGTTTTTGTTTCTTTACGAAGTGTTATGAGCCATTAAAATAATCACCTTAGCGCTGACGCATATAATTGTTTCGTTTGGAAGATAACGGTATCTTTAAACTTATCGTTGATAAAAAGAACACCTTGAAATATATTCTGTATATTGTATCTATGTATGCATAGTGCAGTATAATAAATTTTATGTTTATTACATTATAATAATGAGAAATTAATTTTCCCCCAAAAATTATTAGAATATCTTTTAGATATCATAAATGCGAAATTTATATGTTGATATATATCTGATTTCTTTTAGACATCATAAACAAGAACTCTATATGTTGACAAACATTGAATACCTTAAAGATAGCTGATTTGAGAAATCTTTTTGACATCATTTTCATGATATCTTTCTGTTCTCAAAAACCGGCGCATTAGAGAACATTCTGACATCTTATGTTACCTTTTAGAAGTCTCTATAAGTTATCAGGTTCAGAAATGAGATATCTTTTAGAAATCTTTTTGATAACATATTGTTTTGTGGGAATAAACTGTATTCAGTGAAGTTTGTTAAATAATTAATAACTTTAATCTAATAAAGTAAACTAGAAAAAGGAGAATACTTGCAGCCGGGTATGTGTTATACCGCGTTAAATCAACAACAGAAAGTTGAAAATAAAATCAGACCAGAGCTAAAAGTTTCATATAAATATTGCCTAGAATGACTGTAGCATCTAGTAATACTAGATATACTATTAATGCATCAGAGATATCTCTTGCAAAGCAATTATTTATTTTCATCATTTTGAATTTATGTACTTTAAAAGCCTTTCCTATAAAATACATTTAATTGTCACAGTTAAAGTTAAATTATTAAAATGAAACAAATGTGATATTTACCTTCAAGTCGATCCTGCTTGTCCCGAACTGGATACACCGATGCATCTGCCGTCGAAGTACACAGACTGCACGCGAAAGAAATCCGTATCGACGGCTAAGGATACCACTCACTTCACTTCATCGTTGATAAATCTTTCAAGTATGTCGATTGACTACGTAACACACAAATTCTGGAATCTCCGTAAATAAAATCACTCCTTACCTCGTAGACAATAAACTTGGTTGTAAAACTTGTCACACGACAAATAAAATAGTATAAGCCTAACAGCAATTAATCGTTAACTCGCGTTCGACATGTGCAGCGACAAACGCGATCAGCCCGCGAGCTTCTCTCGGTGGATATTAATCTATATCTAAGAAATTATTCTCACTTATCCATCACTATATCTTTCTGATAAGCTCGACGAGACTATAACACGTCCAACTTGGTATAAGTTTGAACGAGCTCGTAATTATTTAATATCTCGCGATGCATTACTAGTCAACGTTCGGCTGAATCGAAATGAACAATTGCGCGCCAAGTGTTACGCAATACCTTCCGCGCGCCGTGCTGCTTCCCCATTACTTACGTATGCGCGTCTAAAGCTAGCGCTACACTATGCGCGATTCGTAATGCGCGTATTCGTATATACGTGAATGCTGTGGAGCAATTGCTGCAATTCAGAAAATCATGATGTTACACGCAAAGGTCTTGCCGTTTGATCATCAGTTTTCATGAAATAACTATCTTGTGGCAAATTACGGTAATAATATTATAAAATAAATAATATTTTGAAACAATAATATTATAAAAATTAATTGGGACATTACATGCGAAGAGTAATAAAACTTGTGCGGTCACTCATCGACTGACTTTTCCTTAACTTAATTATTTTACGCCGTCTAATAATGGTGTTGAGATCAGAACGTTTACCTTCTTATATAATACAGAAATATAAAAATGAATTTATCTAACATCCTAATTGGACCCTTGATTTGTCATTTGTAAGGGTACGTTTCCATTGAGCATGTCACGCGTCTCGTCACGCTCTATCTTAACAAAATTACCTTTTTAAAAAAGGTTAGATGATGGAATGAATGAATTCATTCACGTGTACCTGTGGACGTGACACGTGTACACGTATAGTCGTATATTTGACACGTGTATTCGAATATTCGTGTATGTGACACGTGTACTCGAATATCCGTGTATGTGTGACACGTGTAAACGTGTGCAAATATTTATCAAAATTTTTATGAAAGATCTCTATTTCTGCATTTGTCATTCGACATATGTATACGCATAATTCCAGCATTCCAAGTTTTGTCCAGATTTTGCCACATAATTCTCTAAATATTTCCCTATTGAGGTATACACGTTTACATCTGTTACATACACGGATATTCGTGTACACGTGTCACAATCACGTGTTCACGGATTCATGTAAATGAAGATTCTTTAAATTTGTGTACAGGGATTACACGTGTAGTCTAGTATACGTGTACTAGGGAGCTCTAGTCGAGACGTACGTTCTGGAAAGCGTACTCAAATAGTATCTTTTGTAAGGGATCGGCCGAGGAAAGGGACCAGCAACAGAAACAAGCGGTACACTATTGACTGAGAGAACTTTTAATGCAGCTCTCGCGTACAGCTAACACGTAATGGCGGGCGGAAGTCCGTCTCCTTCTTCCCGGCTTGACCGCGCTCGATTATGCGCATGCGCATGAGCATAAACTTATACTTAATATAGCTGTCAATAAAGAATATATCAACCAAAATAAAATATAACGCTTCTGTGCGTAAATCATGCTTAATCTATAACAATAACAAATCTCACACTTTCATAAAGTTTGTCCAAGTGAATCGATTTGTGGACAAACATGAAAAAAGCCTTATTTAATCAAAAGTCTTACACGCGCACACGCAGTATCCTACTGATCTTTCGTCTGACGATGCATCACTACCGCTTCATCTCTTTCCTCCTGCGTTTGATCTTTGTTGCCCCGACCCCATAACACGTGACTGCCGTCACCTGTTTTCTTCACTCGCTTTCTTATCATGTCCTCGGACACGCTCTTCAAATCGTAGGCCCAGCCAATCTTCGCGAAAAAGTCGATGAAAGCCGTTGTGAAGTTGAATGTGTAATTGCCCAACTCTGCTGTCTTGTAGTCCCAGGGAAAAACGTGATGGTAATTGTGCCAACCTTCGCCGAGGACAAGTATGGTAACACCTTTGTTGCTCACTGCTTTGATATCTCTATACCGGATAAGTAAGCAATTGTAATGTTAGTCACATTGCACTAAATATAAATCTTTCAAGAAAGTCTACCGAAGTACTGAAAAGTAAAGAATGGAATGTGTTTGATAATTTTTCTCCCCAAGACAAATTAAGAAAATAAAAAATGCAGTCGCAAAACTTTTTTAACTGATTGATACTTACTTGTCGTAGGGTTTGTTGCCGAAGGAATGAGCCACGGAATTCACCAGCCATGTCATATTTAACGTGAAGATATAACGGAGAACAGTGGAAATAAAGTAAGCGTTCGTCCACGTCTCGTTCCAACACACGACCGGAATAACGGTTGGCAAAATAAAGCACAGCAATGGCACTAATATGAAACGATGTCTAAAACAAACAATAATTCTCATTGCGGATACTTGTTCGCTAACAAAGCGTCACTTCGATTCGATTAATATCGACATACGTACTTCTTTTGGAATGCCAATATAGGATTGCTCTCAAGATCACTTATGTCGAGCCCTTTGCCCTTTTCCTTGACTTCCGGGTGTTTCCTACAGAGCAGCCAGCCCACGTGCGAGAAAAACAAACCTCTCGTAGCATTGTACGGATCGGCGTCGGTCTCCGTGTATTTGTGATGAACCCTGTGGTCTCTGGCCCAGACGATCACGGGGCCCTAGATCCGACAAAATTATACTATATCTCGACCAATGCTGATATAGAACTAGAAAGTTTCATTTGGTGTCGTTCGTGTACAGCGATTTGTATATGTTTGTGTGGCATAATCGCGTTTCGTATTGCTCACTCTTATTTGGGTATTTCTCCGAAAATTTACATCGCAGTAAATAAAAATGATATAAACGTACACACTTATATTAAACTTTCGTCACGAACAATACGTGTCACCTACATTCTCGAGCTTATGGAGAGAGATGTCTTTTTTTTCCTAACAACAGATCACTTTTTAGTCAACATTTAACGACACGCATTTTTCCATTACTTACGCGCGACATATACTTTGTGCTCGGCATAACCGTGTCGACATTAATTCTTACGCCTCACTAGCTGTAAGTGAAAGATGATTCTATCGTATCCCCGATTGCTCGACCGATTGCAGTATCATTAATACACATGTCTAATCAATTTTGTATGCCATGATCCTGTCATTAAAACTTGTCTCGAAAAAAATTAATTACAAATTACTCGACGTTTCATTTTGCGTATTACCTGGAATGCTAGAGTATTCATGATCATAAGTAGTAGCTGAAGAGGCCATGTGGCTTTGTAGGATCGGTGTGACCAAAGTCGATGAGCCCCAGCTGTGATTCCCAACATGCCCAATTGATACAACATAATTGCTGCAGTCCAGAAAATCATGATGTTACATGTATATTGTCTTGCTATACGGCATGGTTGCTCTAATGATTACGGTCACTATGATGAATATTACACTGAGAAAAATGTCCGATTAAATTTAATCGGATAATCCAATTACATAATAACAAACGGATATATCCAATTAAATTGTATATCCGATGAAAAATATCATCGGTATTTTAATCAAACTAGAAGTGATAAAATGCGCGCTTCGCGCGCCCAGTTTGTGGTTGAGCAGTGCATATTTTTGAGAATTTGTACACATGCAAAGAAGTAATTGTATGCACAACGTCAATTTAAAATAAATTAAATTAATTAAAATAACAATTTACTTAATTTGTTTAAAAAAAGTTAAAAAACAACTATTTACTTAAATGATTCGAACGAGGATTCGAATAAGTGTTAGAGACAAAACCATACGTATAAAATTTTGTGAGTATATAATTAAAAGGAAGACCTTTTCAGTATTCTATATAAATATTTTAGTAGATGCCTATTTAAAAAAATATTGTATGTATAAAATATAAAGTATACTTAATACAATAATTTCAGTTTTACATAAGTAGTCTATAATAATCATATTTATATTTTTTTGTTACAGTTTAACATATATAGTTAGCGATGTACAACTCTGCTGTTGCGAATCGTATCAGTGAGTGTTGAATTACTTTTTATTTTAAATTGACGTTGCGCATACAATTACTTCTTTGCATGTGTACAAATTCTCAAAAATATGCACTGCTCAACCACAAACGCGAAGCGCGCATTTTGTCACTTCTAGTATTTCTAAGTTGCAAATCTTTATTTACTGAATCTGAAAGAGAAGTGAAGCACACCGCACTTCGTGAAAACTAATCGGTATCGCGATAAAGAGGCTCAACTGTTCAATATTAACGACATTCGCGCTGGTAACATCTCTTTTTTAGAAAGGGATTTCATTGGCAACTGTATTTCATCGGATAAATTTCAACGTATGTATCCATAATCTAATCGGAAAACGTAATCGGAAAAATTAACCATCGGAAACACTATTTAATTGGTTTATCAGATAAAAAATTTTCTCAGTGTAATGATGTGTCAAAATTTGCAAATCTTTCTTTTTTCTTTCTTTATTGCGATGGACATCAAATTTAGTTTTTTAACCGACCGATATGTAATTCACATATATTTAACATTTAATTTATTTCTATCGCGCGCTGATGAAGACAATATATGTCGAAACGTTCGTTTTTTGTGATTAATAATTTGTTTCGACTACATTTTTTTTACAACTAGAACGCTTCGCGCGCGCCATTGTTCTTCCACATTATATTACATAAACTGTCAAAATAACCCTCTTAAATACAAACTGTCAAAACCGCAAGTTGAAGAGAACGACTCGCAACAAGATCGAAACTCGATCGAGTTTCGAGAGAGCCAATCGGCATCGCGGAAAAGCGACAACAATGAACTCGCAATGCCTTTTTTAGATAGGGAATACCTTTAATTTAAGTCACTTAAATCTTTGAGAACATATATATTAAGTAGTGATGAATCGCACGGATATAAATATAATGGGGACTGTTTAATAAAATATTTTCCAATAAGAAAGATATAGCCCTTTGTTGTTTTCACAATATTATCCACATAGCACAAATTACTGTTTGCCGGCTGATAGTCGACATTTTTTAGTCACCTTGAAGACAACTTTTTAAGTGGACATTTAGTCTACTATCTATAGGATGGTTAATTGTCGACATGTTCAGGAAGTTTAAAGTCGTCTTTCGGTAAAGCGAAAAATTAACTAAAAAATATTTTTTCGACAAAGTGCAAAAATGTGTAAAAAGTATCTTTTTGGCCAATCTTTCTGGTCAATATGTCGAACAGATATATGTATAGCGAATCGACGTCTCACTTTCCGCGTGTAGCGCGATAGTCGCGACATGCATGCTCCTTGCTTGTTCGTGAATTATCAGTGTCTTCCTGATAGACGACGATCGTATTTGGACATAAGATGAGTCATATTTTTCGCGTGGCTATCGAATTAATACGATTTAATGTGTCGATTAATACAAGTTAATCAAGGAAACCTGTCAAATTTGTCAAAAATATAAAAGCATAATTAAATAATATAATATTACTCTGGTTTATTGTCTGTTTTTTTATTAAGACATATGCTCATTATAATTATTATTTAAGTTTAATTGGAGCATTTTCAAAGACTTGATCAATATAATTTTATTATTTCTTAATTGTATTATATATTGTAAATATTATACAATTAAAATATAAAAACTTTAATCATTCAAGTTTTCAAGATGTCACTATTAAACATTTAGTAGTTAATATAAATAACGTAAAATTGATTAAAAGTTGACTTCTAATTGCCATAAAGTAGACTTCTGATCGCCATAAAGTAGACTTCTAATCATCATAAAGTTGACTTTTGCCATAAAGTCGACTTCTAAGGCTGATTGACAGCCGATTATAGTCGAGTCATTTGTCGACTATTAGTTGACTATAAGTTGACATTCAGCTTGACTTTGAAGTCGACTTTAGACTTCTGCTGCCAACTGACAGTCAACTAATAGTCGACTTGGTGCTGTTTGGGTATGTATTTCTATTACTTCTGTATTGCCTCTCAAATTACAATAAGTGTCTGCAATACTGTAGTGATTGATAGAAAATGACAAGTTTGCGAAATTAATTCTTTTATATTGTTTGTACCATTGGTAAGAATTATAGTTTAATAAAGGCCCATTTATATGTTCCATATGAACAAAATGTTTAACTTTGACAAAATTTTTTAAGACACACTTATTTAATTTTAATGAAGAATTGATTTCTTGTAATCGACGATGTATTTGTTGTAATAGATTATTAGAAAATTTTAGTAATTTCTTTAAATGACCGAGGTAATTCTCAAATGGAAACGCCGAATATTCATCTAAAGGGCCATAAATTTCGTCGTCATTATAACGTCATTCGAAAGACTTACATATGACGGTCATTTTTTGGTCATTTGACGTCATTCGGACGAACCTGACTAGTATTTGACGTCAAAATGACGTCCGTCTGCTACCTGGGCATAAGATATACTGTGCTAGCAAATTATTTTTCTCCGCGTGATATCTGTAAGTGGAACAAGTTTTCAACTTGCCTGCAACATTCCTGATGCCCTTTTTACACCTAGGGATGATCCTACTTGTACCACATCCGATACCCCTTCTATACCTAAAGCTAATCCTATACTTGCAGCTTATCCGAGGGAGTAGTATAAAGTGTAAAAGGGTACACTGTGGTTGGTTTCCAATCGTACCAAAGTACAACTACAGTGTACCCTTTTACACT